CTGGAATAAAACGGAAAAATTGAAAAGAAAAGAAGAATTACTTAAGGAAAGGGAAAATGGTCCTTCGGAAAAAGTTTAGAACAAAAGGAAAATACAAGAAAGCAAAAAGAAGAAGAAGAAGAAGAAGACCTTATAAATTTTTATCCTGGAGTAACAAGGTGCCTCACACGTTTCACGTACGATTTCATTTTCATGTCTTTTTTTCACTGCTCTTTGGACTGTCATAGCTGAAACTCCTCTCTCACGTGCCAAACATCTAATGGACTAGGTTGAATCTTTTCTAATTGATTTTTTTAAGTCTAAATTGGAATGATGACACCTCTTCCTGTTGTTAACTCCCGATCCAGTTTTCCTCTTTACTGTTCTCTCTTTTTTAAACTTATTCACCATTCTGTTGATGGTTCTTGAATAGATTTTAAAGATGGAAACCAGACTGTGAATGTTGGTATCATTACTGAAGGCCTAAATGATCTTTTTCCTCTCACTGTTACTCATTTGGGAAGACAGTGAGGCTGACAGAAAATGATTTTATCCTGTTCTCTTTTTAGCTGAATACCTCAAAGGGTTTTTCAATGATCCTTACGGCAAACTAGACGTTTTATCTGAAACCCTGGAAAAAAGAAATACACTTAGTTTAGTGGTTTTTAGATTATTTACATTATTCGGATATTACTCATCGTTATCACAACGTTTCGGCCGTTGTACGCTCCGGCCTTCCTCAGGTGGTTAGAATTTCGAACTTAACCCACTGATGAGCGATGTTTCCCTCTGAAAGTTCTCCACTGCCTTAACCGGGTATTGAACTCACACTCTTTTGGTCCTGTTACTGGATCTAACCAACGCTTTTATCCACTGTGTCATGTATCCTTGAGGACACCTGGGTATGAATTTCTGGTTATTATAAACCTAGTGTCTTCAGAAACTATTTTTAATAGTGCTCATATTGCAATTTTGCTGTTATCAATCATCTTTTTACCAGAGCTCATATTGCAACTTTGTTGTTATCATTGCTTTCTCTGGCACTCCTTAGAGTGTGAGTTCAAATCCGGTTAAGGCAGTGGAGAACTTTCAGAGGGAAATTAGCAGGAGATAGCGACAAAAATGAGAACAATAGTCCGAATAATGTAAATAATGTACATAATACCTCATCTCAGAAATATAGACAGAGTCTGGTTTTTAGATATTGAACATTTGGTAGGATGGACAATTACGCTGTAAAACGATTTGGACAATTTTGCTGTTACAGCCGGTATATGTCCCACGTGAGATCTGGAGGTTAATACGAGTCCAAACAGATATTCAATGCAAGGAGTCTCATTTGAGAGTACAAAAGATATTACTCTAAAAGAATTACGACTTATTTAAACGAAAGGTTTTTGTTGTTGTTGTTGTTGTTGTGTGTGTGTGTGTGTGTGTTTTCAGAATTGCTCTGAAGTATTTAAAGTTGGTGATCTTTTAAGACAGCTCCGTGATTTGGGAGCCATGTCAACACAATCTCTGCCAGATGTCTGGGATTAGAAACATTGATGAGATTGACTATTTCTTGGCACTTGTCAAAGAATCTACCGTCGTACAAAGCAACGGCACAACTGCGATTTGGAATTCATAAACTAAAATTTCCGGAGACTGCCTGGAAGTTCTAGGCTCGACCAACATCCAAAAATCAATATTTCATTGACCAAACAGCAGAATAACGACTTCAGAAAGTGAACTGGGACGAAAACTTTTCAACATCTTCCTGTATGATCTATCATGTGTATTTGTATATTTTGGTTCATTTTTTGGCCAATATCCTCATACGCAGGTTCGCACACAGCCAAAAGATACATTTTCCGACTGCTCATGCCGGTAGATGAAAATAAAAATGCTTAAAAAATAGGAATACCTACTCAAACACTTGTATGTACTAAATATAACGCTTAAAGTAACACGAAATAATATCTGAGGATGTCTGTAGGAACAGACGAAAGCTTGTAAAAAATTAAAAAGACCTTATGCAACTGGGATTTATAAACAGGGATCATATCATTCATATACAGGTTCGGGGTTGGTGTATCTTATTTATATTGTTTGCGAAGATGTATTCTCGCCATTTAAATCATTAACTTGTGCATTTGTTTTTTGTATGAATGATTCATGAATATATATATATATATATATATATATATATATATATATATATATATATATATATATATAAATGTAAAGACAATAGGAAAATTGTAATAGTAGTCGACGCGTTTCGTCCAATGTGGACTTTTTTTGATCAAAAAACTAAAAGTCCACATTAAACGAAACACGTCAGCTACTATTACAGTTTTCCTATTGTCTTTTACATTTATAAATATTGTCTTTTTCAAAGGGTTAACTCTGAGAAATTTTTCATATATATATATATATACTAGCAGCATGTCCCGGCGTTGCCCGTGCTTGATTCAAAAATCGTACGACTCATACAGCAATCGCTAACACTTGACTTAAAATATTTTTGCCCTTCCTTGCCTTTAAAGAAGTGCCCTTTGCCGTGCTGATGTTGCTACATGCCTTACTTCTTGCCTATCTCACACTGCGAATTTTTTCTAAGCTCTATACTAAACATTAAATCTGTTATGAAAAAAGATCTAAACAAAATGAACACAAAACGATCAGCTTAAAAAAAGGACTCGTAACTGGAAAAAACGAATGAAAAAAGAATGTTAACAACAAATACTTTTTCACACCGAACCCAGTTCTGCGAAATAAGAATCAACGTTGAGTTTAAGCAAGCGAATGAGCCAATTGGATTAAAGTGCCATGCAGATTTAAACTTTTCCTACTTGTGACGAATGCAGCTATCGATTTTTTTTTTTTTTTTTGCATGCTAGCATGCTAGTTAACATTTGTGTCAGTCAGCTGTTGGCTCTCACGCTGGCCAATAGAATCTTCCTGCCTATTCGTGGCAGCCAGCTATTGGCTCTCACTCTGGCCAGTACAAAATGGCTGCAAACTACATGAAAACTGCCGTAGAAGCATGAAAAAATCGATTATTTCCACTATGGGAGCTGGGAAATGCAAAGTCGGTCTTGGCCTTCCCGCTAACTTGGAGCATGTGCATGTAAATTTTAGTGAAAATCCGTCGAAAATTGCGGCCGTGCATTCGTTACGCACACACACACACACACACACACACACACACACACACACACACACACACACACACACACACACACACACACACATCCTGCCTTTTATAGATAGAGATAAATTTATAGTTGTTCCAACGAAAGAAAAATGTATATTTTAAAAAAGAGAGAAACCGCAAACGCTTTTGGTTATAATGTGGATATGTTTTAGTATATATATTATATTTTATTCGTCACTGCTACACGTGTTTCCAGTCTCGTGACCTTCTTCAGCAAATCAAAGGAATAAATTTTTTAAAAGGAACAAATTTTACTTATGTTCTTTTAGTCTCATTGTTCGTTTTCTGTATTTATTAATGAGCCTTGAACTCTTTTCTGGACTTGGCAAAAGTGAATTTCTGCCTAAGTTTTAATAAAACCGTTGGTATGGGAAGTGGTGATGATAGATGTGTTGATGAGAGATGTCTTCCTATCCCTGTGTGCGTGCGTGTTCCTGTTAGCCTGCATATGTATGTTCCCTCCCCATATATACATGTATATATCTATAGTCTAATTCCTTATAAGACAGTATGTATATTTTTAAGGAAAATAGTTTATCAAGTTCAGTAGCTGTTATCACTATTTCCAGTATTGCTATAGGCTTCCTTCGTAAACTTGATTATGTCTTCGAGTTGCATACGCTATCCATTTTAGTTGTTGCTGCTCTTGAAATTTCTTAAGTGATGTCGTTTCTATTATTTGGTTCGATTCTTTGTTTGTGATTATGTAGCGCCAATCCACAAGGTTCAAAGAAGGGTGGTTCTCACTGAGACGTACAGGTTTCATTCTTTCAAAGTAATTTTTAAGTATTGATCTTAGAAGTTATATTCAGCTGACAGTTTAGATATTTCTGTACGAGTTAGGTGACTTACATTACATCCATATAAAAATGTCGATTGGACGAGGCTATTTAAGAACATAACTAGAGTTTTGGGGTTAAATATCGGTTGTGTAGCAAGTTGCGGTTTTGTTCGAGACTACCGATAAAATTAATGTAAGACACTATTAGACACAAAGTTGAATAGTTGGAGATTATAGCTATAGAAAACAAGAAATGGGGAAGGGAGTTCCACAGGCGAGAAGTGCGAGGCATGAAGCTATTGGAGTAGAAGAGATGACTACATTTAACAGTTTCGACAGTGTAAGGGTGAGATCGGGATGCCAGCCTCGTAGGGCGCTTAAATTCATGAAGTCTAGGAACCAGCGAAAGTAGCTCATCGGTGCAGTTACCGTGAAAGTATTTATAAAAAAAAAGACAGAAGGAGGCAACGGCACGTCTGTGAAAGAGCGACTACAGACGAGATGCCAGATCAGGGCCAATTACATTGCATATCCGTCTCTGGATTTTATCAAGGACCTTGAGATAAATATATATTATGAAATAGATTAGGTCCGACAATTATTTCACTTATTTTCTGTTTAGACTTTATTTGAATAAATACGATTTTGAAATAAGCATTATTTATTACATTTACCAGTCTGAATGCAATTGTAATTAGTATTGTTTATTTAAAATCAGAGTATTTACTTAAATATATTGTATCTATCAAAATAACGTATGAATAATATATATATATATATATATATATATATATATATATATTTATATATATATATATATATATATATTCATACATTATATATATATATATATATATATATATATATATATATATACTATTCATACGTTATATATATATATATATATATATATATATATATAATTTAGTAGTAATGAATATATCTCTATATATATATAAATATATAATCTAGTAGTAATGAATATATATATATATATATATATATATATATATTCTAGAAATAATGGATAGCGGCTTG